CTAATGTGGAGCATTATGGACCAGGCACTATGGTTAAGAATAATATCACCCCCATTTTACAGATGAAGAAACTGAGGCATAAAGAGGTTAAGTAACTTGCCCAAAGGTGGTTCTGTACAAGGATGCTTCCAAATTTCCTTGTCCTTCTATAGCCTTGGTGACGTGCACCCTGAGCTTTAAATGGTGGAAGGGAAGCTGATGGGGAGAGAATAGCGTCGCTTCTACATTCCAGGCAAGTGGAAGAAGGAAAGAGGTTAAACTGAGAGACACAGAAACTGTAGTGTGTGGGTATTGGCCCTACAAGGTGATACAGACTTGGGGGTACTGACCGGGCCACTTTTGTGGTGTGTATAAGAGAAAAAGAAGGCATGAAAGCCATCAAAAAGCAGAAAGAGCACCACCTTGACCTGTATGCCTCCCAAACCCAGTTAGTTGCATGAAGAGGGGCTCCCCTCTGATGGGGGTGCCTGTGAGAGGGCCTGCTGTTCTTTTCGCTTTTGTGTTTGTTTTAGTACCAAACCCTTGCTTATTTCAGCGAATGGGGACGGGTTTCCATCGCCTGCACGGAAAGTGACTCTGGCAATGACCTCCTCCGGGAGACCTCACCTGGGTGTCTGAAGGAGATGGTCACAGAATAAGACGTTTTAAAGTAGATTTGCCAGCTATGCGGTTTTCTACTCAGTGAAACAGGTTTCCTGACAAATTTCATATTCAGAGAGAAATGAAAAGACCATGCCAGGAAACATGAAGTTCTCAGGAAGTAATTTGGTTATAAACATATTTCCTTAATAGGATACAATTTGATTCTAACCCTCATTACCCTGTGACGAGAACAGTGAGGCACTGGTGGTTGATTCTCAAGGCTTCCCTGGTGTTCACAGCCCCGTAGGGTGCAAAGCAGATCCAGGGTCCATCTTCATCTCCCCGAAGGGATGGCCCTCCAAAGGGCTGGACAACATCTGAGCCCACCTGGGCATGAGGATGAAGCCAGGCTGGCCCAGAGCTCTTCTTGCCACCATGTGTGCCACCAGGCCTTTTACTGTCATGTAGGCGTCCAGGAGACCTCTCTCCAGCCACACCAGCCCCACGTCCCCTTAGAGCCCCTCCAGAGCCAAGGGTTTTCGGAGGGGGTTATCATATCACAATCCATCAGGGAGCTCTCTAAGATGTGATGCTTCTCATAATGTCACACCCTTCAGATGTTTCCTTCTATGAACTAAAGTTTCAGGGCTCTGAGGAGCCTTCTAGCTTTGAAATACTTCATTGAACTCACTTCTATCAAAGTTACGAAGATCGCTCGAACTTGCATTCTTGCAACAAAGGCGACCATCTAATCCAACTTCAGGCACTCCTGACGATGACATAGCATGCCAGTGGGGCAACAGGGTACTCCTCACTCACTTCCTGTGGCTGTTCTGGAATGTTCCTTGTAAGTTCACACCCGCCTTCTGCTCATCTGATGGAAGGCCAGTGTGCCCTTCATGTGGACACCTCTCCCCAAACAAGAGGCGGACTCGACTTTTTCCACTTTAAATTGCCATTGGAGAACTTTTACACTTGGTTACACTCCAACAGAAATTTTAATGTGAGACGAATTTCGGGCAGATTTCATAAGAAGGAAGACAGTTCCCTGACCTTCCAAGTTGAACATGGGAAGGTCAGGCGCTATTCCACAGAGGCTCTCCAGCCATGCTTTTCCAGTCAGACCGTCCTTCAACCTCCCCTGCCAGCCCTAGGATCAGCCCTTCCACAACTCAAGAAAATGCCCAGGAGGCTGTGGACCTGGGAGCTGCCGCCCCTGCCCACCCACCCACGCCCGAGAGCTTCGGCTGCTGCCTGCTCATCCCTGCTAGACAGGAGGACACCTGGGAAGGCACAGGTGTGCATCTCCTAAAGACAGAGCCGTCTGTCATCCATCGGACCTCTCCTTGTGAGACGACGGGGAAGCTGGTTGTAGGTACCTTTCTCTGCTTTGTCTATGTTCCAATCACAAATTGAAGAAGGATATTGTCAAGATGTAACGATACATTTTGCTCTGTGGGACAGTTGTCAACAACAATCTAGAGAGTCTTTGGACCTGAGTAGCGCAAATCTGGGAGAATCACATGCCATTTAGTATATTTGAACCAAAACAAGCCTTCCTGGAAGGATGCACCCTGATTTATAGTTACTTTTAAATAAATAAATTTACTTTTTAAATAAATTAATAAGGAAGACCTAAGGAATAAGTTGTTATGGTAACAGATAGTAACTACACTTACAGTGGTGAGCATTTTGTTATGTATGTAATGTTGAAACATTATGTTTTACACCTTAAACTTTTATAATATCATGTCAGCTATACTACAGTGAATAACTAAATTAAAATTAATAGGCCTAAGAAATTATCAGTCAAGATGCTCCCCTTAGAATCAGCATATTTGTGCTATAATCACAGGACACAGGGGAACATCAAAATTTTCTCTAGCTACTGAACTAAATTCTGTGAATGAGTGCACGCTCTCCCTGGGGACCCCAGGGCTCCCAGTTCACCCCACCATTGAAAGCCTGGATGAGTGCTGGAGAAACCAGGGTTCTGTCTCCAGCAGGCACCACCAGGCTAAAGTCTGCATCTCCTAATTCTGCCCCAAGTCTTAGCCAAAACCCTCAGGGGTTTGGCCCTTGAGGAAACGAGATTTTCTTTTACTCTTGTTAAGACTTCATTTTCAACCTTTTTTTTTAGACTTGAAGGAAAACGTCACCCCCTGGACCCAGATGTGAAAGGCCTGGGCCATAGGTCAGTTTTCTTTCCACCTCAGCACAGTTAGTATTTGGGGCCAGATAATTGTGTGTGGGACTGTCCTGTGCCGTGTAGGTTGTTTGGCAGCGCCCCTAGCCCCTCCACACACACCAGTGTGACCACCGAAAGTGACCAGGCATCGAGACTGTCCCTGAAGGACAAACGCCCCCGCCTGAGAGCTCAGCATGTGGAGCGAAGGACTTTCTTGTGACTCTGCCACAGGCGGGATCTCGGTTCACTTGCAAGTTTCATGACAGAATGGGTTGAGCATTCACCGTGACAGACTTTTTAGTAAGTGCTTTCCGCACATCATTAAATCCTGACAGCAGCCCTCTGCGGTATGCACGATTGAGAAAAATCCCCATTTGAAAAGGAGAAACAGACTTGGGGAAGGGTAGGGACTTGCCCGAGGTCAGCCGGGGAGTCAGGACCAGAGCCCCTCTTGGCCGCCGCGCTCCACCGTCTTGCCTCTGCGGACAGTAAAACTGACAGAAGGATTCGTAATGCTGGGCAAACAGACTTGGCCGGCATAATCGTTTCTGGAAACTGTTCAAGTCTCTGTGTGTCTGTCTCCTTTCATATGTTTTTATAAACACCAGGGGAGCCATAATCACTTGAAGTTAAATTAAGTTAGCGAGGTAAAGGCCGCTTTCTCCAGTCCTGAAATGACAGAAAAGCCCTGGCCGTCCTGGCTGGACAACGGTGCCCCCAGCCTCCACCAGCACCCCATCCTCTCCTGCTGCTCCTCAGACCCCATTACGGGCACTTCCATTTTCCTTTTAATTTTCCAAATAACAAGATTGTATTTTATAGTTCAGCTATTACTCTGAAGGACAGTAATGGAGAACTTCGCAGCCCAGATGTTCAGAAAGAAATCAAGCAAATCAAGATAAAAAGAGTGGAAAAGGGAAACAGAATACAAATATTTTCTAGCCCTCTCGAAATTAAAGCTTGAAAAACCACAGCGCTTTGCAAAATATCACATTCAACTGTTAGTTTAAAGAAAACATGTGAAGTACCCTTGGTGCCCGAAGGGTGGGGAGGAGGCGCTGGCTGGCCTTGAAGTTCAGGCCTCTCTGATGTAGTAGAAAAGTTTTAAGGTAATTTTTTTTAAATCACTAATCTTTGTCACCTTTCTCAAGGCCCCAGGAGACGATGTGGGGTCCTGAGATAGGTCTGGTCAGTTAGGTCCACTCTCCCTCGGGGGCTGAGCCGGGCTTGGTGTCAGGGAGTGTCATTGAGACACTGTAATGGGAGGTGAAGAGTAGAAAGAGCTTCTTTAGGGAAGGCAGCACATCTGCGAGCCCCCCAATGCGGTGTAGACCATGCATCCCGCTACCCGGGCCCTTGCCTGTGACCTCAACTAGCACACATATGGGGAAGAGCTGTGAATTGTTCTCAGGATAAAATTAGGATATGGAATCGCATCTAAATTTTGAAAGCACTGTTTTAACAAGTTTTAACCACAGTTCTTCTTGTTTTGTTCCAAAAGCAGGGGCCTAGTCCTGATTGTGTGGTGCCTGAAGCAGGTATTAGGTATTAACTTTTCTGAAGGAAAAACCTGGGCCTAAGACCTCTTTCTGCTGTGAGATGATGAGCACAGAATTTGCAGGGGAAGAGGTGTAAGAATTTGAATATGCTCACATTTAGATAGAACTTACTGTTTTTCAAACTGCAAATTACAACTCTTTAGAGATTAATCAAAGCCACTGGTGAGTTGCAAACAGCACTTTTTAAACCAAAGAACTCGCCCCTGATGGCTGGTCTGCTTCAGGGCTTTGCTGTGTGAGAGCGAATCCAGGGAAGGCCTACCTGGGGTTCTCCTGGGTGGGGGCAGGCAGCCCCTCCAGGTCACAGTTCGTCACAGTTCCATTACGGGCTTGAGGAAGCCTAATACCCACGTCAAGGATTCACGAATACAGTGGTGACCGAATCTTTCCCTGTGACGTTCCAGAACCTGCTTACGGATGGTCACACCTGGCCATAGCCTGCTTCCCCAGCATAGGTGCAGAGGGACATGAACTTACAGCACATGTGTCTAATCGGGTCCTTTGGGAAAGAGGTTTATAGAGTCAGAAACACCCTACACTGCAATCCTCTGGCAGGTTCCAGGGCCCATCGGCGGAGAGCCGGGCTCACGCGGTCTGACCGGGGATGGCCCACACACATTTGACCTGCAGCCTTTTATGAAACCACCTCTACTGACAGTTCCACCAGCCTCCACCCAGCCCCTAGCCTGGTGGCCACCCCCGCGGCTTCCTGCACCTGGGCATTTCCACTGAAGTCGCCCCTCCGCAGGCCGTACTCTGCAGTCCATGGCAGGCGCTCCACGTCCTCCTGGTGGACGTAGGAGGTAAGCTTTGCCAGATCACCCCTTCTCTGGTTTGGTGGTGGGAGCCAATCATCACCAGCACACCAGCTTTTATTTAGAGGAGGACTTACCACTCTAAGTTGATTTCTACAATTACTCCTTGTAGAATTCAATCTCATTGAACCTGGCTGTTGGTTAGTTGGTCACTGTGGGTGAAGTCTAGTTTTTGGCTTTAAAATGATTTTATATTCCGTTTCCCCTTTCTTTACTTGGATGTCGTGCTGCGAAGTGTGACCCCAGCACCTGCCTGTGCACACAGCGCCCTAAACTCAGCTGTTCAGGAGCTTTACTTTTCCACATGCACATGTGTAATAAGCCACGTGGGCTCTCCCTGGAGTTCACCAACCAACTGAATTTATGCATAGTTGCCAAGCAGTCAACAGTGCAGCCTGTCCGTTAGAAACAGGTGCCAAGAGAGGAAATGTTTGATATTTTCCACACGGCGCAGACTCCACCAGACAGTGTTTCCCATCAAAGGGAGTCTGTTTACCCAGTTACGTCACAGGTCTCGAGTCTCCCTTCTGCCTCCGGAGTCCGGCTGCTGGCCTGCAGCTGGCTTGGCTCTGGCCCTGCGTCTCCAGTGCCCCCCACGTCAGCCGGTTTGGCTGTTTGAACGCCACCCTTTCCAGCTGGTACTCTTTGTCATTTCAGAAACCAGCTGTGTTCCAGCGACGGGGCTGGGCCCGGTTTTCCGTGCTTGCTGACTGCAGCGGCTGTTTTCTGCCCCCAGTAAGGGCCCAGGGGTCACACCCACCCACTTAGAGCCCCCTTGGCAGGAGACTTGAGAGATGACCGGGGCTGCGGTGAGTGTCACCACAGCCCCAACTTCTCCTAAACTCAGCCTTACCCCTCCCCCAGTCCCCAGTTCCCATCTTCTCTTTATTTTCTTCCCTCACGTTCAAATAGCTCCAGTGAAATAATGCCAAATGTGAATGCTTTTTAAATGATGGGCTCTAAAATCATCGCGCTACCAAATTCTGCATGTCCCTACTAAGGGAGGCTTGGCTCTCTGAAGATTTCATTTGTTCATGTTACCATTAAGTATGGGCCGTTAGCTATGTACCAGATCATTCTAGGTTGTAGGGAAATGAGTGACACAAGCCCTACTCCCATACTTACCTGCTAGTGAGGGCAGATGATAGCAAACAGAAGCGGAATATATAGGATGTTAATGATAAGGGCTCAGGAGAGAAAGTAAAGTCATCAAGATAGGAATGGAGGTTTTGGGGGCAGGGGTGGGGGCTGAGACTCTAGCAGGTGCGACCAGGGAAGGCCTCTCTGACAAAATGGTATTTGTGCAAAACATGAAAGGAGAGAGCTGTGTGGAGGCAGTGTTGTCCAGGCTACGGGACTGGCCTGTGCCAAGGCCCTGGGGTGGGATATGCCTGGCCAGGTCAGTAAGGTGGGAGTCATGGGGTGAATGAGGATTCAATGTCTTTGAAGTGCCTGTAATAAATGGTAGCTTGTAATAAATGGTAGTTATAATTACGATGGTTTCTCATCAGATGTTTCTGATTTGTTTCATGTGAACAGGTGCAGTTATGCAGCCAAATAGACCAAGTCTGCTCCTTGGCCTCGAGAAAAGGGTTTAATCACAGCTCTGCCGACCTCTAAGGGCGACCCCAGCGTGCCTCCCATGGGCACCCCTAGCTTTTCCCCTTCCGTAGGGTCAGACGGCCATTGCCCCGGCCAAACACCTGTTTCTGAGCAGATTCCTTTGCACAGACCCGGGCAGTAGCTCCTCAGGGTCCCAGAGCAGCGGCGTGCACACTAACGTGGGATGTGTTCGAAGTGCCGAGTCCCCCGCTGCACCCAGATCTACTGACATGGGAGCCTGGGGATGGGGCTCAGCAGCGGGGGGGCTAGAAGCCCTCCGGGTGACACTGACAGACGCCGAGGTTTCAGAACCACCGCTGCGAGTTTCTGGTCCTAAAGTCCCCTGGAGCGGGGAGGGCTCCGCTAGGGCACCTCGGTCGGTTCCTGCTCTCCCCAGAGGACCGCTGATCAGAAAGCCTGTTCTTGTTACTGAGCCCCTCAGGTGCCCTGCTCCCCAGGCCTCCGGGGAGCTCATCTGCCTCCCGGGACTCATGCATGGCCCTGAATTCTGCACCGAAACGGCCCCAGCAGGGCAGAGACCGCCCCAGAGGACGTCCCAGGCCCTGGTCACTTCCTCCAGCGCTCGCAAAAATGGCACTGAACGCCTCCGAGAGCTATTTTAAGTTTTATTATTGTGGAATTTAAGAAAAACCTCAAAACTAAGATAGAGCAGCTTCAGATTTTTGGACAAGACCCAGCATGGATTTCCCGTCCTGCCCCAGGAAGAAGTGACCTCCTATTTACTGGGAATCAGATAAGGCAGCATGCTCCAGGGACAGGGCCACTGCCGGTGCTTTTCCGGCTTTGAGTGGCGGCAGGAGCTGATTTTTCCATCCGAAACAGTACGGCTGACTGAGAGCAGCAACCCTGTCCTGTTGGTCCCCCACCTGTGCTGACGCAGGGACGGGTGGGCTGCGGGAAGAAGGGGGACCAGGGGGTCTGCAAACCTGAATTTGTTGCTCCTCAGCTAATTTCTGTTGGCCTGGGCATTCGTTTGCAAAGTTAATCCAAGACAGAACTATCTGGGGCTCTTGTTTAAAATGCAGGCCCCTGGGTCCCTAAAACAAGTGCTTCTAAGGCAGGCCATCCTTCACGTTTGGGGGTATATCGGAAAAACATAGATTAAAATTCTTAACTTGGTAGAAAAAAAGGTTCTCTATGATGTGGGAGCTAATTCCTCCCAAGAACAATCCCCTACAATCCTCCTTTTACCATTTAGGATGATATTTTTTTATAGTCTTTAATGTATCTTGTAATTTTTATAAACTTTATCATTTTTCTTCTAATTAGAAATTAGAAGGAATTATTAATTATTAATTAATTAATTAGTTTAAATAATAAATAATGATAAAATTTATCAGACATTCCCAATAACTAATAGGAATGCCTGCTAAATTTTATTAAAAACATTTTGTATTGCTATGATCACTTTTAAAAATTCGGTTTGTTGATATAATAAATTATGTTGGTAGATTCCCTGATATTAAATCCCCCTTGAATTCCTAGGATAAATCCTGCATGGTCAAGAATGCTGCTCTTCAAATATATTGCTAGACTGTATGTAAAATAAAATTTGATACACTAAAAAATTTTGAACTTTATTAAGGTAAATAATTCTTAAAAGTCAAATATGTTCATAAAACTTACAATACAAAATAGAAGTCCACACCTTTGCCCCTGCCTTCTCCTCAATTTTCACCCTCCAGGAAATAATCACTTACAACTTTTATATCTGTTTCTTCTGGAAATTTGCTTTTCTATTTCTAAATGGCATGTTTCTACAGTTACTGCTCGATATTTCAGTTTCTGATATCCTGCAGAGTCTTCCAACTATTACCTTATGAGATTTAGCATCTTTACCGACATAAACTCTACACAACACACTCACACACACACACACACACCCATAGTAATATTCACACATGCAGACACATTTCTCTGTACCATGTGATTATATAATAATGTTGCTGATTAATATTGTTTATACTATTATGACTATGTAAATAATATGATATTCCCAGTTAAGTCATGAAAAGAACTATGATTAAATTTCCTTCTTGCACAACTTTTGGTTTTCTCTAGTGTTAATAATTTTCTCACTTTCTTACTTTCTAAATTTCCTGTGTATTCACTAATTCACTCTCTGATAGAGAGTGTATTCACTAATTCCAAACTCTCTGATAGAATTAAAATCTCATTCAATACTTCCAAACATCATATATTCTATAAAATTCGTGTTTTTCAAGTAGATAGTCCATCTGGAACCTTCTGTCCTCCTTCAATCGGGACTGATAATTCTCTAGACTTGCTGTGTCTTAAAATCTCCCTTTTTCATCAGGTCAGGGATTTCCTGCATCTCTTGGGGTCCTTCTTTCTTGGCTAACTCTCACATTTTGATATACACTCCTCCAAAAGCTTTCTGAGAAAAGGTACATCATGCAAGTTAAGTTTTTTGAGATATTGAAGCTTCTGAGAAAATTTTTATTCTGCCTTCTGCTTTGATGGTCTGTTTAGCTGGGTGTGGAATTCTAGGCTGGAAATACTGCCTCTCTGAGAATTCAGAAGGCGTTGCTCCAGTGTTTTCTATAGAAAAATTTTGCCATTCTCATTTCTGATCCTCTGCATGTGACTTGATCTTTCACTGTTTTTTCCTCAGCGCTATGAAATTTTGTATTGATGTGCTTTGTCAGGGACTTTTTATCCTTTGTGCTTGGCTTTGGGTAGACTCAGTCAGTTCTGGTAAGTTTCCCGGGTAACTTATTCTCTGTTTTCTCTGTTTCGCCTTTCCGGTACTCCTTACCATTCAATATTAGACTTTCTCATCTGATCCTTCAGTTTTGCTCTCTTGCTTATCTCTATCCCTCTCTTTCTCTGGTTATATTGTTTTTGAGATTTTACCAACTTTGTCTTCCAAGTAGGGTTACTAGATAAAATACAGGATGCCTAGTTTGGGTTACTAGATAAAATATAGGATGCCCAGGTAAATTCTATTTTCAAACTAAGTATTACATTGGATATACTTATAATAAAAAGTTATTTGTTGCCTATCTGAAATGAAAATTAAAGTGAGAGTCCTGTGTTTTTGCTTGCTAATTTTGTTGACACTTCTTTCAAATCTTCTCTTGAATTATTCCTTTCCAATATCCTATTTGTAATATCCAAGATGTTTTTTAATTGTTTTCTAAGTGTTCTTTTTAATCACTTCTTTTGTTTCATGAACACAATGTCTTCTCTTTTCTCTCTAGAGATATACTGAGGACTATTTTTGTTCTGCTGCCTATATTTTTTCTTTTTCTTTATTTTATTTTTTTAATTTTAATTTTTTTGTCTCTGCCTTTCATGTTCGATTTTCTCACATGCCTGGTGAGCCTTGGTTGTTCACTTGTATTTAAGAGAGATGCACTAATTGGCAGTTTGTAGGTTCAGTGGGTATGGCTGGAGCCTGTTGACTGGGGGGCTTCTCTGCAGCACTGCGTCTTTGGGGGTGTCTGTGAGAGGGACTAGCAAGGCTGCTATCTGCTGGGAAGTGAGGTGCAGGAGAAGACGGGGGCCCAGGGGTCCCACCTTCCTATGACTAGTCCCCCTCCTAGCTCCCATTTTCGGTGTGCTGCCCTTGCCTTGGTGTGCCTGGGTCCTTGAGCGCAGAACCTCTCTTGTTCAGCCCCCCGAGAGTCTCCTGCCGGGGTCACTCATGCAGCGTAAGTCAAGAAAGGCAACCTGAGAGTCTCACTGCTTCTCATACAGATTTGTATTTTTTTTCTGAAAACAAAACACTATTAATCTCACCAGTATGTGTCATTTCCCATCGAGATGCTTCCGCCCCTTCCCGATTCCCTCTCACTCCAGTAAGATGAAAGCTCTAGGCTCCTGTTTCTCTCCTCTCTCTCTCTCCACCCTTGGAGTCTCCTTCATTTCTTCCTATCCACCCACCAACAGTTGCTGCTTTTTCATTTTCCTGCCTATCCTCACCCCTCCCTGTCCCAGCCAAGCCTCTTCCAGCTTCATTCTGCTGGGAATGTGTTTTCCTTTTTCTAACCGATCATCCTCTCTCTGGCTGCTGGCCACTTTCAGATGGTATGACATTCTTCTGGGTGGGCTCCTTAGGTCTCAGGTTATGGTGGTTTATGCGTCCCAAGTGCTGGGAATCCCACAGATGGCAGAGGATGTCTCTCAGTCTCCACAGGCCAAATTATAGAAGCTGCCATCAGTCTGTCAGGCACCCTGCAGGAAACCCTCTCCCTCCGGACTGCGCGCCTCCCACTGCCCCAGTGGAGGGAGGGGACTCAGCTCCTACTCAGCTCTTCCTGGGCCTCCTGGGGGAGGGCCGCCCAGCACAATCACTCTGGGCCTGTGCTGGCTTTAGCCCTGACAGCCCAAGACTTCCCAGGATTTTATGCTTCCCAGTCTTCACTCCTGGCCTTTGATGTTATTCTCTAGCACTTCCCAGCCCACTGGAAGAAAGAACCTCATAATTTTCTCAGCTTGGAACCCATCAAAGCCCAAGGCCTCACTCACGCCAGCCACACATAGGAGTTAGCAGCTAGCTGTTTGCTTCCAGAGAAGAAGAAATTTGGGTTTGGGAGTGAGAAAGATGGAAATTGCATCCAGCTTGTCATATGCCCACGATTCTGTTTGCCGCCCACCCCAAATTATTTCCATAGCCATTGATCACACACAGGGGAGCCCGGATTAAACAGCAGAGTTGAATAGCTGTAGTTCTGATTCAACATCTGAATATAAGCTCATCCACTCCTGACCTGGTCCATTTGGGAGACAAATGCCAACTCCAGTGGTCCTACGCCACAGTTTTAGCACCACCACATTCAGAGATAAGAGAGAGTTACTGCGCTTACACTGAGGAGAAAAGCAATCAGCAGGACCCAAGTGAAACAGAAGTCGTTCCTCACCCTGCTTTATCCGATAAGATATCTACCTGCCACGAGGAATCGCTGCCAGTCTCCCCTCAGAAAGTTTAAGGATCAGGCTAGGCTAGTTCTGGAAAGAAAGATTGAGTGGACATAGTATTAACCTAAATGGAATTAGGTTTCTGTTTCAATAAAAATTCCCATTAAAGCTGAAAGCAATACAGCTGCAGCAGTACAGCCATAACCACCGCCTGTAGGAAGATGGGCTTACATTACACCTGGCCGTGCACCCCATTATCACTTTGCAAAAGGCAGTAACCCGAGGTGGGCCTCTGTGGTCCCAGTGTCCTTCGGGTGATGGTCTCAAAGGAATCCTTGATTGGATGCAATCAATAGCCCAAACATGCGTGACTCACGAATCAACACATGACAAGAGGCTGACAATGATTAATCAACTCATTATGATAGGCTCTTTTCATCCCCTAATACATGACTTACTGAATGTTTTTTTGTATATAGTTTCAGTGGAAAAAGGGCATGACAGCAATATTTCATTCAAACTGTCCACCTACAGGGGCACATCAGCCTCTTCATCACCCCTGGGTGGCATCGCCAGGGCCCGCCACGCTGGGCGAGCAACACTTCAGGAGTTCATTTTGTTTGCCTATTTCCAATCTCATGAAAATGTCAATTTTCCTCTTTTAAAAGACTTGGGATGGAGGTCACACACTGGCAGCCTGTGGGCTGCATCCAGCCCTCAGATGGGTTTTGTATGAGTGGCAGGGTTTTTTTTTGTTTTTTAATGAATTCTCTTTCCGCCTTTAAAATCAGAAATTTAACACAGAAGTCTGGCTACCCTGGGCCCTGACAACTTGGAGGTCTGAGGGGAGCCTGCCCCTGTTTTGATGGGGAGAGGGCACTCCTGTTGGCCCCAGCCCGAGCACTTTCTTATTTTACATCCAGCTACTTCTCCATTTTCATCACTTGCCTGGCCGCCGGTTTAGGAGTGCAGTCTCATAGGAATAGTCCAGAAGGCCACAGTTCTAGTCCTGCTGCCCTGGGGGACCCTGGGAGCCTTTTCACGTACAAGGAAACAGGGAGGTGACGTGGCTTGCTGGGCGGCGGTAATCCAGCGTTCTTTCCCAGCACCTGTGATTAAGACCCTAAATGTCGCGCACAGACAAAAGGGTTTCTGTTGTTCAGAGACGAGGAAGGGCACCAGGCTCTGAAGAGCCAATCCGGTAGGGTGCCTCCCTGGGTTACCAGATGGGTCCAAAGGACAGCCCTAACTCTGTTACTGTTTAATCCACTCCACTTCCTAGCTCCTCCACACCTGTTACTTCAGAGCCAGACAGGAGGTTCTAAGAATCCCTGGAAGCTTCCAGCCCGACTCTGGCTTGGAGAATCCCCATCCAGAGCCAAGTGCCAAGGGGAGTGACCCATCCCATATCCTAGACCCCACGCATTCAGCTGCACGATCTTCCCGATACACTCAGAGATGACACAAAGCCCATGGGCCTTCCTGTGGATCTGCCCCTGCCCAGCCCCCAGCAGATGAAAACACCAACAGATTCAGTGGACATAGGAATCACCTGGGCGTCTTGTCAAAATGTGAATGCTGATTCAGAAGCTCTGGGGAGGGACCTGAGAGTTTGCATTTCTAACGACCTCCCAGGGGAGGCCTGCGCTGCTGGTCCAAAGACCACACTTCCGAAGCAGAGGGCTTAGGAACCACCCATCACTGCTCATGGCCATTTCTTGCTCTTCTTTCTGCGGATCCGGCCTGTTGCTCCACCTTGTCTTCTTTTTTCCCTTCACTTCGCTGCCTCTCTCATCCATCCTTCTTCTCGGCCAATTCATTACTCCTGCCAGGCATCCCTACCAACTCCCAGCTCCATTCAGGGATGGAGTCACCCCAGCCTTTGTCCCTCCAGACATTCATCTCCCTCCCTTTTCTCATCAGTAGTGCCAGAAAAATAAAGATCACCAGTTACTGACAATTGTGTGCCCAAGAGTGTCCCAAGGGCATGACCCATATTATTAAACTCTTACAACTACTGTGCAAGGTGTCCATTATTATGTCATGTCAGAAATGAAAAAATCGAGGCTTGGGTAAAGAACCTTTGTCCTCAGCTAGAAAGAAACGAGTTGAGATTAGAAACTGGATCTGTCTGAGGCCAAAATCTACAACCTGTAGACTGCATTATGCTCATAAAAGGTGAAATGGTCTAAAAGTCATCTGCTAGAAGTCCATGGAGAAAAAAAGAGCAAAGTGGCCATGAGACACTCCAGTTATTCTTCCTGTACCATTCTCTGAACGCTTCTTAAGCAGATGCCCTATGACGTATCAATAATAAGAGCTATTTTAAGAATGCCCAGATTGACTGGGGTAGGACAGGATTCCCAACAGCAGAGGAGTCATACTAAAACCCAGCCTTGCCAATATGCCCAAATTTCCAATCTAACTCTTTAGCAGGCCCATAACTGTAGGCTTAGAGCCTACTGCCAAAAAAAAAAGATTCCTACCTTCAGCCGGTTGCCCAACACGCTGACTGTAAAGGACGGTCCCACATCGTCTATCAGTCTGCATGGGGTCCTCCTCAGACAGGCAGCCAGTTCCCTTCTCTTTGATTTCTCTTCCTTGACTCCACCTCTACTATCCACTCGATCTGTCACTCTCTGTCCTGTCCCCAAGGTCCTACCCAGGTGTCCTGGCTTCCAACTTGGGAGCCTGTACCTGATCTTAAAACCTTTGTGTCTCTCAGATTCCTCATGCTACAGGATTTACAAGATGAACACATCTGGTTGTGTTAGCTTTCCCCCTCCCCTGACTTTTATTAGGTGGACCCCCACCCCAAATCTCCTTTTAATTATTTCCAAAGATCCCACAAGATATGAGGAAAATAGAAAAGGCAAGGGGTAGGAATGAGGGAAATCCCACCTTGACTCAAAAAATTAAAAAGGTGTATATTCGCTGCAAGGGGAAGAGCTAGAACTGTGAAATATGAAATGGGTGAGGGAATTGGGGGCTGCACAGTCGGGGGGAAGGGGTTCTGGCTCATCTTGAACCCTCACCAGCTGCCCAACCTTTTCATTTTTCTTGAAGCAGTATCTCCATTCTGGACATCAGTTTCTTCACCTTTAAACTGAGGGGATGGGATTGAATGAGCACTAAGATTCCTTTGCTCTCTATTTATCAGTGTCTTCCCTAGGACCAAAGATAAAATGAACTAGAAAGTTTCTGTGAAATAATGTCACATCTAACCAGCAATGCTGACACAAAGTAGGCTCAGTCAACGCATGAAAATAAGGGGGTAAAGGAACAGTGATGAGGAATGATAAAGAAATAATAATAAAAATAAAAGACCACAAAATTAAATAAAGACAAAAGTGACTCCTTGTATAGTCTTTCTTTTTAAAAAGATTTTAAATACTCTACCAAGTGGCCACCTACTATCCATAATTATCAGTTACTTATAAAATATGTAATTGGGGCAGATGTGTTCTATTCTGTAGCATATTGCTATTTTAAAAATTGTTTTCTAATAAAAGCATTGAATTGTAAAGTCAACCACCAACATTTTAATTCTAAACAATGGCAGGTAGACCAGACATAAAATCAGGTCCACAAGAATAATTTCCTTCCTGGCAGGTTATGGAATTAAATGTACATGGTATTTTCCATCTTTGAAGTTAACATGTAATTATGTTTGCTTTATGCCAATTCATCTGCCCCCAAGTGTTTCAAGCTGAACAAGAAAAAAAAATGAAGTCTGCCTGAAGCTACCTGTCCCTCCATGCACTTATCAGGCCAGAAGAGAGGACTGCTGGGACATACCCCCACTGGACTCTGTATATGCATTTTGGGGAACCCCCCGCCCTCCTTTCAATAATATAATGACAAAGATAATATCTGTGTTTTAGAGTCATCTGGATCAGTAAAAATATGCCAGTCATTCTGCATGGACCCCACCTTCTTCAATCCCATGCCTGAGGGTGCCCGCCACATCTGGCCCTCGGGGGCCTGGCCTCTCCCAAAGGGCCATCACTCATCCTCACTCGTGTAGGAGGGCGCCTCAGCCGTCCGACCCAGGGGCCCCTCGGCCCGGAGGAGCCTGGCCCGCCCGATGCTGTGGGATGAAGATGTATCTCATTGTCTTTGTTCTGGTAGCCTCATCCTGGCTTCAAGTACCAGTGGCCTCTATGCCAAAAGTCGTATTTGAAAATAACATTTTGATTCTTTGTCAGGTCTGACTTTCATGTGCCATCGAGATAGTTCTCCTTTATTCAATAGCAGTTACTAAGAAAACCCACACCACACCCTCCTGTGTCCACTGGACTCCCAGAGGAGGAAAATGAGTGGCACTGAGAAGCCTGGAAGGTCAGGATCTTTAAGTGGATCAGAAGATAAGTCCGAAGGGAAATCTTACCTCCTACCTTCCTTCACAAGCCACTAGGACCTATTTCCTTTTCATCTTCGTCAAGAGCAATTATAAAATACGGTGGCTGAAGATACGACCTGCACACTGACCTAGGCTGCTCTGAGGGCTCGGGAATCATTAGGCTCCTGGGGTGAATACTGGCAACACCCGGGGCTGGAGGGTTAGAGGCCTCTACTTCCCTCTCCTCCACTCCTACCCATCAGGCGCTTTGTTACGATGAAAGCTAGTTCTAGGCCAAGTCCTGCCACACAGTCAAACCTTCGCTAGCAAGCAGGCACAAAACCATCACCAAACCTTTCCTTTAATCTTGGCCAAGTCCCCACACTCAGGTACTAATAAGCACCTTGCATGAGGAGGCAAACACCCAGTATTCTGACAGCGGCTCAGTTGGGCTGCTGGTTGGATGGGGCAGCAGAGCCCTGCGTGCAGTGGAAGGCCACAGGGCCAGAGGGATTTCTGACCCAGAGCACAGCCCCAAAGCACAAGGTTCATAAGCCTGTTGGAAAGGTCTGCTATTCCCATGCCAGCAAAGCAGGGCCTAGAACAGTCCCATCCACCCTCCTAGCTTGAAGACTGTTCATTTAGTCAATAAACAATTCTCTCTTGCCTCACACTAATTGACACACCCTCTGGAAAAGATTTTTATTAACAAATATTTATAAGGCTTTAATAACCACTTCTGGATGGTGGTTTCCTGATTCATTTCCTTCAAATGCTACCCATGACCTTTAGAGTAAATACAGCTGAACCTTGAACAAAGCAGGTGTTGGAGGCACCGATCCCCGTGCAACTGAAAATCCATGTATGACTTTGGACTCCCCAGAAACTTCAACTACTAGTAGCCTGTCGGTTTTATGGTATTAAATTATAAAATAGACCATGTTCTATAAACATTTTATGCATTCATGATATACCTTTTTCTTAATTTTTTCTCTATTTCTAGGCTACACAGTTCATCTGCAAGTTTTTTCAAATCGTGGCAAACTCCAAAAAATTGTCCAATATACTTACTGAAAAAACTCTATGTGTAAGTTTGAACCCAATATGTCAAAATCTGTACGTTGTTCTGGGGTCAACTGTATGAGAGTTAACTTGCACGTATGTGTGTCATAGTGTTTATAATGAATTATTTTAAATTAACAAAGAGACAACTTTCTGAAATATCCCACCTGCAGATTTGACATCTGAAACCCTTGTAACACTCCCATCCATTGTATTGCTGGAGAAATTATGCAAATATGCAAATAAAATAATACCATTCTTTTGGAGTTTGCATCTCAGCTCCATATCCAGCTATTGCAGAAAATGTATTTGAATAGAGTGCAGAGAAAGGAAGGCACATGAAAAAAAAAGGAGAAGGAAATG